TTTGATCTATTTCAGACTGCAGAAGTTGGTAGGTATCTTCAATTTCTTTATCGTTAGCATTAGTGGTTGGTGCGTAAATATGAATAACGGTTGTACTAACTGGTCTTTGTTGTAGGAGTATGTATATTACCCTCACTGATAGCTTTGTATTTTAGTATAGATCTTGAAATGCTTTTTTTTTTTTTTGCAATGAATCCAATGCCATTCCTCTTCAATTTGTCATTCCCAGCATAGTAGACCATATGATTGTCCAGTTCAAAATGGTCAATACCAGTCCTTTTCAGCTCACTAATGACTAGAATATTGATCTTCTTGATCCATTGATGATCCTTGATTCATAATTTGTATGTTCCACATTCCTATTACTATGGATCTTTGTAGCAGTTTCTTCTCATTTTAAGTCATACCACATCAGCAGACAAAGGTCTCAAAAGCTTTGCTCCATCCATGTAATTAAGGTTGACTCTATTTTGATGATGCAGCTCTTTCCCAGTTGTATTCTGAGGGCCTTGCATATCTAAGGGCACTCATCTTCCAGCACCTATATCAGACAGTGTTCTATTGTAATTCATAAGATTTTCACCGGCCAGTTGTTTCAGTAGAGTGCCAAGTCCTTCTTTCCAGTCTGTCTTAGTCTGGAAACTCCGCTAAAACCTGTCCACCATGGGTAACACTGGTGGTATTTGAGATATCAGTGCCCTAGCTTCCAGCCTCACAGTAACACGTGAGCCACCACAGCATGACAAACTGACAGATCCGCGGTAGGTCTTAAGAGTATGACTGCTATATTCCATCATGATTCTTAATTTGTTTAATTTCTTGAAAATTAAACTTCTCAACTTCAATGGAATTTAAGTCTTAAAAGTAACTCTCATTTTGCTTTCACATTCTCAGAAAGTGTGCGTTTAATTATTCAAATCCACTGACATGTGAAACGTGAACTAAATGAAATGCATATATTTCACTCAGGCATTACAATTTGATTTCTTACATCACTTCAAAATAGTCAATTCCCATAAGCACTTTATTTATATAATAAAAATCATAAATAATCTTATTATTTTTTTTTCATTAGTCTTCTGAAAGTAAAAGTAATTTTCAAAATAAACTAAAAATGGTAAAGTCATAGCAGGGAAAACTATGGTACTAGCTTCTCAAGTCCAGAGTAGAGTTTCTAGCCAGATGTATTCAGCCACTCATCAACATTCTTTATAATAATCAGACCTATATTAAACCACACATTAATATTGCATTAATATTATAGCATTAAAATGACTCGTTGACACCTCAGGAAAAACACTGTCTTATATATCACATTTTTCAAAATCATGTAAGTGAGTTTTTTTTTTTTTGGTTTTACATCTTTTAACACCTCTTCCCTTATTTCTTCCTATCACGGAATTCTCTTATTTATATTGATGTACACTTCTACTTTGAAGTCAGAATAGTATTCTGTAATATGCAATTTTCCTTACCAATGATTTCAAGTAACAAATAAATAAATAAACAATTCTCTGATGAATAGTAAGCACCACAACTGCTAAGGGATTCTGCTTCCTCTTCAGAATATCACAAAATTACCAAAAAAATTAAAGGGAAATTGAAACAGTAGGATATGGATTTCCATTAACTCAATTTTGATGCACTAGTAGGTCTTCGAAAGTATGAATAAGAATAAATCAAAATCATAAGCCTTTGTTTTTTACTTTACTACAATTACTTAACTTTGCAAAATTTTTTTTCCACATCTAAAATGTTCCATTAATTGGCCACATGATAACATGAGAAATTCTGTTCAACATAATTTGTCTAATAAAATTCAGCTGACTTTAGCCACATTGTCATTTAAAGAAGCCAATTAAACTAGTGAGAAACACACCATTTAAATGGCAGTCTTCAGAATAACTTAAAAAAAAAAAAAAATTATAGCCACTACCAAACTTGTTTTGAACTGATTACCTATGAAAGAAATGCATAAAGCTAAAGAAAGGGCAGTGACAGTCACTTTTTGGCTTATCTAAGAACTCATAAAAGCAAAATGCTCTCACCATCTTATTTTATTAGATTCTCTAATACATAAAACTCTGGTACTTTTCTGCAGTTTGATTAACATCATTCTCATTCAACATCTTTTATGTTTTCTGACACCTAAAAAAATCTTAATTGTAGCTGTGAAATTCTATTTCTAAATAAACACATTAAGTCAGAGTATGTCCTTTTGGTTGTAAAACATCATTACTTCAAAACAAGAGAATGCACACAAGATTCTAGGAGTGAAATCTGAACCGAAAATTCTTTAATAGTGACTATCCATCCCACCAGGTATTACTCGACCTTGTACTTTTGTTTCAGGAACACAGGCCCACTGCTTGATGGGATCTGTAGTTTCCAAAAACTGTGTGGATGGCAATCAGTCATTTGCTTCTTAATTTGAAACTACGAGCCTAAAGTCTTAAACATGAAAATATCATTCCACTTTCTTTTGTAGAGTTGAACTGTTTCAGACCTCAAAATTCTAAAACACTATGAAACCAAATGCCTTAGGCACTATGCTACCAGAGTTCCTATAGAACTGATCAGCCACAATGAGATGCAAATATATGAATATGCACATACATCTTACTAAATGCTTTGATAATGATATCCACAAAGATATGTTTTATAACATAAAAGAGGAATTATAATTCTCTGAGGAAAAATACATCCCATGAACATGTATTTATATGAACATAATATTTTACACATATATGAAAACTTTTTTTTTTGATTACATAGAAGAACTTTCCAGACATTTCAATGTAAAATAATCCCACTCCCATCGAGTCGATTCCGACACATAGCAACCCTGTAGGACAGAGTAGAACTGCCCCATAAGGTTTCCAAGGCTGTAAATCTTTACAGAAGCAGACTGCCTCATCTTTCTCCTGTGGAGAGGTTGGTGGGTTTGAACTGCTGACCTTTGGGTGAGCAACCAAATGCCTTAACCACTGCACCACGAGAGGCCCACAATTCAATTTACACTGTGCATATTCATATCTTTATTTGGGCACACATCTTGTGTTTTTCATTGTTATAGTGTTTTATGCATTTATACATTTATAAATAATTTCTTATATTCAGGAATTCTAAAATTTGTTTGCATATTTATCACTTTCAGGCATCAATACTCAACATTTGCCAAGCAACTTCTTAAGTACCACAATGTACATAGCATACCCAATTCATGGATCAGAGAAGTCCTTCAAAGCCATTTAAATAATTCTTCCTTAAAAACATTTAGAAAAGTGAAACATTTTTGTTTCTAAATTACCTTAATAGCTCCATAATCACCTTCTCCCAAACCCAACCTCCATCTCATTCCCCTTGATGGTACCTACCCTAGTGTTGTCATGGTGACAATGGTGTACCAGAAGGCAGCAGGAATGCTGGTGAATTTGCTGGCTGAAGAACCCTTCTCTGCGTAGAACATAACTGTAGCAAAAATGATGATAGCCATGGTGAGTGAGAAGAGCAAAAAGCCCAATTCTGAGGCACAGCTCTTCAGTGTGTACCCCAAGATGCGCAGGCCTTGAGAATGGCGGGAAAACTTAAAGATCCGGAAGACCCGGAAGACTCGGAGTGTGACAAAGGCTCCGCTGACATCCTCATTGTCTGTCATCACCAGCCCAATGTAATAAGGCAGGATGGCCACCACATCAATGATACTCATGACACTACGCACAAAACGGTAACGACTGGGTGCTGCAGCCAGGCGAAGCAAGTACTCAACTGTGAAGATCATGACGCAGGCTGTATCCAAGCAGAAGAAGGCCACTGCGTACCGCTCGCCACAGGGCAGTTCTTTAATGTGACCTGGGCTAGACCCACACGGCACTGTCTCCACCACATTGGCGATGACTGAGACAGCGATGAAGAAGCCCGTAACATAGTAGAACACCAGGGCCATGGTGCTGGTGTGGGGGTTCTCAAACGCCCGCCAGACCCTCTGCCGAGCAGTCATGGTGGGCAGCGCACTCTCCCCGCTGTTGTCAGTGTCCGCATCGTCCTGGAGGCGCTCAGCGTTCTCCCGCCTGCGATCCTTGTACTCCTCATAACAACAGTCGCCAATAATTTCTGGAATGAGGCCAAAGAAGGCCAACTCTTCGTCATAGGCAGAGATGCACTCATGGCGAGGGTAGTGGAGCTTCCCAGTGCGGTAGAAATTCAGAATGTGGCGGAAGATGTCTGGGTCACGGTCAAAAAAATATTGCTGAGTCTCTGGATGGTAGAAAAAGTCCCTCTCAGAGCTGCCTAGCAGAGTGTCTGGGTAGCGTTCCAGGGTGTCCTGCCATGTCTGGAAACGGGTGCCACTCACATTCAGCACAATTAGAGCATCTTGTGTCCTTTTCCTCTCCTGCCTCGGGGGGGCTGGCATGGGTCCCGAGGCCACAGGCATCCACCCTATAGCCGCTGCCCTGGCAAAGGGCAGCCAGGCTGCTACCCCAGCCGCCATGGTTCCTGGGAGTGGAGGTGAGGAGAGGGGTAACCAGGCCTCTGCAGTGGGTCAAAGTAGCCACAAACACCTCTCTCCCTGCAAATTAAATGTTACCGAGAAACGTGGTCTGGTGGTATCACTGTTTCCAAGCTAGGGCTCCTGGTGAAGTTAACAGTACTCAGAAGGGCAAGTGTCCCATAGTGACAAGTGTTTAGGAGTAATAACAAAATTATGATGTCCTAACAACCACCACTGACAAAGCCTTCCCAAACCTCTTCCAGCAATTGAACCCAGTCACCCTCTGGCACAAAGCAGCGCACAGGTGACTCTAGATGCAGTTTCAAACAGGTGTGTGGGACTTGTGCCCCCAACACACATACAGTCCGGGTAATGAGGGGTCAGGACGCGTCGTGTAGGCTAGAGAAGAGGAGGAAGGGCAGTCACCCAATGATACCCTTCTGACGAATTAGGGGGCCCTTCTCTTCTCTTTTCGCGCTTCAAATGCTCCCTTTCGGAGTACCCCTTCCCGCCAAAGGAGTCTCAAAAGGCGACCTGTTGTAGCTTCCGAGACAGGGTCACGGCCGCTGCCCCACGTCTGTCTTTGGGAGTCCGGTCGCCGCCTCTACTCCTCCAGTGGTCTTTGCAGAAATGGAGGTGATAAGCAGAGGGCACGGTGGGGGGGCGTTAATACAGGTCCTCCTCCCCCCACGTCTGCAAGCACCCCCTGTGTCTTTTAAAAAAGCGTTCGCCCAGTCGCCCGCTCAGTCTCTTTTTCAAGTTCAGCTCAGGTGCAGTGTGACAGTTACAGAGCCCAGAAGCTGGCAGCCGCCGCCGCCAAGGCGGCAGCAGCATCTGCCACCGCGCAGAACTCGCCTCGCCCGCTGTACATACCTGGCCAAGTGCGCGCCGGGGCTGAGTTGCATAGAGACTTGGCGCCGGCGGTGCACCGGGAATGGGGAAAGCAGCGACGGCAGCTCCGGGAGCGGCGGAATGCGGTCCGCCGAGAGCGCATCAATAAAGCTCCCGCGAGCTCCTTCCCCTTCCTCCACCCTCCGAGCCGCTCTCCTCCTTTTCACCTTCCAAAAGCCTGGCGCGGGCGAGCCGAGAGCAGCAACAAGTTCAGAAGGTGCGGGGGTGGCTAGAACCGAGGGGACTCGCTCTTGCCAACTTACTGAGCGGCCGCTGTCGTCGGGTCCGGGGCGGCGCGGCGCTGGGCC